CCTGAGAGTAACATTTGGAAAAAAGTGGTTAATACACTGATATTTATAAAACTCTTCTGAAATTAATTAAAGCAATTTAAAAAAATTAACCACACGGGTTTAAGCTTTTTATTATTATTATTATTTGTTGCATTTCAACAGCAAGCAGCTGTGTGTAGTGCTGAGCCATAACTTAGCCAACCAGAAGAAACCCACTTTGCCAAGCAAGAAGGACCTACCCTAACCTTACCAGTGAATCCATATCAATCTGATCCTGATGAAGAACCTTACCATGCTCCAATTACAAAAAAAGAATGCAAGATTATTTCTTGTGCACTTGCAGATAAATTTAGCATAAAAGCATCTGAGACACTAAAATCTTCTTCAGAAAAATCAGACTGAAGTCATAAAATATAAAGAGGCAGCACTTTTACCTCTGAATGAAAAACCACTTAACTGGTGGAATGCCCAAGAGGTATAATATCCATTCAGTGTTTCTCAAGAAAAGTCTACATATAAAATAATCTTCTGTAGATTCAAAACATTAAGAACATTCCAAGAACTGTGAACATTTTTTAGTTTATTATGATTGAAGAAGGTTCTTCTACAAATTCAGAACATTAAGAAAAACTTGTTCCAAGGTGAACATTCTTACCCAAGCTTTGTTTGTTATAATTTACAGTATATGTATATTTAATTTAAATAATAAACAAAGGAAACAGCGGGTCATGATACTTATTTGACCAAAGGGCTCTACCATTGTTATTTTTGCAAACATTTCCACAAACAAATGTGGCAATAATGGTCTATCTGTGTTTAATTTTCCATGTTGTAAGCCATCAGACTTTTACCTATGTTATCATGCTGATGAACACCTGGGAGGTGGTTAGTCATATGTCTGTTGTTAAAGATGACTAGCACTGCTACAGCACTACTGTTTGAGTAAGTATATCCTGATTTTCAGACAAAAAAAGTGTGATTCATGTATCAATTTTATCACTGTAGCAGGCATCAATAAGATACTAAACTATATCTAATATGTTGCCGCACATAACTCGCATATTCAGCAGCATCACTATCTCCTTCTCAAAATGCACACCTGGTTTATTGTTTTCAGACCTAAATTAGTTAACACTGTTTGCAACTGAATCATAGTTCACCTGCTGCACAGGCAAAACTGGCTGACAATTTCAGGATTGGGCTGAATGGTACTTGTATTCAACAGTCCTCACAACAGAATATAGACATTTTCAGAGCCAATGATCAGGTAAGACACATCTGAAGCAAGGAAATCTTCCCTCATGTTCCTGAGATATTCAGGAACCCATATCCTGTTGCATCAAGAGTGCAACAATGGAATTTAAGCCTGGGAAGACCAACTGTTTGATCTGGAACCATGGCAGCTGCACAATGGCTCCTTGCTGGTGGCTAATACTTCTGCTGAGCATTGGGGTCATCATGAATCATGGGGTTGCTTTACAGCAAAGTTGCCAACTGCAATTGTTACCATTGCTGGTTTCTTTCTTTGCTCCAGCATATTAATCAATACCACAGAGATACAATGTCTGTAAGACCCATGTTGTGTCCCACAAGTTTGTTTGGCAGATCCTTAATAAACTTATTCATGAGTATTTCATAGCAATCATTAAGAGACATACTCAGAAAGGCCTTCCCATGAAACCTCCTTAGAACATCTGCACAGGCAACCAAGTTTTAATGAGGCCCTTCTTTCTGAGATTTGTTTTTGATTTTCAAGCAAAGCTACACAGGTGCTGTCTGTGCAAGGTTGTCCCCAGCTTGATCTGATAGAATAGAGATGAAGGCAACTAATCAAAAAGACCCACAACCAACTCTTGGGCTACTCTTATCTAAACAAATAGTGGTTTTTGACTGTTACTCTAATACCATACTTACAGCCCCAAGTGTGGAGCACAATTTTGCAGTAATGAGCTGCAAAACATGAACCCTTAGATTCACAGTCTAAGCATGACAATCACTAGGCCACACTTGGTCCTAGTCTTATGAATTGCTAGGTTTTCCTCGGGTCAAGCTTGTGGCACAGCTCATTGACAACTATATCCCAGTCTTCAAGTCCCTCTCTTTCTCTAAGGCATTAGTCACCAAGCCAATTAGACTCAGCAACAGATAATGCACCCCATGTAATTTAACACAAAAATATTTTCAAAAAGCAAAAGAATGTTTAAAGAAGCTATAAAAAATCATAGATTGTGACTTCTTCCCAAGTCTTCTAAATTTCTCATTAATTATTTATTATTACTGACATAAACAGTTTATAATATGCTCTATCCAATAATAGTTAAATGGTGTTTTTAGCTATTTTTTAAAACTGTGCTATTTTAGTAATTGATCAGACCACATTCTGTGACATCATAAGAGTGAAAATGAAGGACTGTAGTAATAATACCACTAACAAAGACAGATAATCACATGAGAAACAAAACATGGATATTTATGGGATTTTGAGTCCTTTCCAATTCACCATGCAGTAACCTAAATTATTTTAAGAATGTGAATAATGTTATCACATTAAAGCTGATTCATTATTCAATATTATACAACACACCAACTGTTTAAGGATTACACACGTGTTAAACATTTTTTTCACCTTGCGTAAAAAAGAAAAGAATATATAATCATAAAACATGAATAATTATATTTTCCATTGATTACAGTTTCTTAGAAAATACAAATTTATGCTTTTAGATGTTCAAAAAACTTTAGAAAATATTATAAGTATACAGTCAAGACTAGTGTTCCCATTAAGCTGCAAGGCTGTGTGGCACAACCAGTCAAGTGCCGTGCACTTCATTATTCCAGCCACACACATACTCAGTAATGGTAAGTAGTCTCAACAGATAGTCTCAATAGATAGGCCTAAAACCCAAATAACCAACTGGTAGCATTGCAAAGTGGCCTAATGATCCAATAGGGTCGATGATCTAAAAATCCCCCCCCCCTAAAAAATTAAAAGGAACATTGGTCAAGACACTCCTCAGACCTGTGCACAAATAAAAGTTGGAAAATGTTTTAATATTTTTTTTCAAGTTACACAAAATAAATGTTACAAAATACCAATTCTAAAATATGTTCCAAATTAAAAATTGTTGAAACAGAATTAGATTATTTTGAAATTTGATGTGCAATAAACATCTGTTGTGCATTCTGCTGTCCAAATAGTTTCTATAACGGCATATGAATACAACCAGAAACTTGTCTCTAATCTTAGTATTCTAAAGTCTTCTGTGACATACTTCATTTTGTATATCATGAAACATCAAGAGGCCTTTTGGCCCATCAAGAATGTCCTAAATCCTAACCTCCTTCAACAACCAGAAAACTAATAATTACATTAAGCTCTGATCCCCAAAGTATTCTTCAATTCTTTCCATTAAACTCCTGTAAAGTTTCAGGCCTCTAGTAATCTCTAGAAGGCAACTTCTTCTAAATATTTACCATCTTACTGGAGAAAAAGTGCCTTAACTGGGGGTGCATCTCACCTTTACAAATAAATATTCACTGCCTTCAGAATTCAATACTAGAAACTCTGATACATTAATATTACCAATTATCTTATTAATTCTAAATAATACTTCAACTATATCATCCCTGATCCACCTTTCTTCAAAAGAGAACAATAAATCAACCTGCTGTAATTTTACAACCCATCCACCCATAGAATCAGCCTAGTAGCCCTCTTCTGAACTATTATATGCAAAATTATTTCATGAGATATGAGGCAAATAATAAAATAATTTCTAGTAGGGGAAAACTTGTGCTTTGCATACAATACATTTTTTGGGTTGTGGTATTTTGTATTTGAATGCACAAAGTTTATAAAATAGTAAAGGCAGTGCTGTGTACTTAAAGCAATTAAAACAGTTAAGTGATCTGCCTAGACTACTCACACAAGTTAATGTACGTAAAGTTCTGAATGTATCTGATGGCCGTGTGGAGCATCAGTAAATGCAATGTTGAACCTATTCCACAACATGTGATACTTACCAAACATCTCTCATACTAAAGATGCTTTGAGTCGAATGATCTGATTAAAAAATGACAAACTAATCAACTTATCTAGTAAGGCACACCAGATCTAGCAACACTTTCAAAACATGGGTATCGGGGGCAAATATTAAAACTCAACAGGGTGATGGTACCAGCACTCTAAGTGTCTATAAACAAATAAAGAAATTCACACACAAAATCTTAGTACATAAACACTGCTTTCTGAGATGGGGCTCTGAGGGATGACAGATTCATTCCCCAAATACCTTCCCCTCCCTTCCACATATGGTAACATTGTCCATACTTCCCTACTCCAGATTTCATTTTTACATCGTTTAATGAAGTTTAAAATGATTTCCATGCATGCATATCATACTCTTTTGAATATATAGATATTGTTTTATAACTGCAGCCACTTTGTAATTATATTTCTTAGCTTATATTTCTTAGTCTTCTTTTATGCTAAAGTTTCTGGTTGTCAGTTATATGAGTGAAACACTGAAAAGTTCAACTATAATACAACTTCTGCTAGAGTTATTAGTGAAATATATTTAACACTTTATAAATATCCAGTAATTGCAAATTTATTTTATATTTCAAATGAAAATATTCTGAGGAAGTAGTTATAATACAAAGCATTTCTTTTAAGTTGAAAGATATTATGTATATTAAAAGAATGTATGCAATTGTAAAAATAAAGCAATGAATGATCTTGAATAAACAATCATTAAAATAAAACTTTAATCATTAACAATTAATTACCTGCTGCTGGAGTTGTTCTCTTAATGTTCCATTCAAAATGTGTGATGAACAGAACTGAGAGCCTTCAACTTCTGATTCTGGTTTGAAACCATCATTATAATGAACAGGGTTAGACACTGGTTGATAATAATCTCCTTCATCAAATCCACCAAAATTCACTCTTGATTGTAAAGAATGCTTCAACTGGTTATGGGCTATTTTCTGAAGAAAAGTAAAATAATGTGTGTTAATGCATAAACACTTTTTTTCTTTAAATGAGACTGAAATTAGCTATTATAGTAATCTTTGTAAGCTATCAAAGCCATCAAAAGTTTGTTTACATAGTAACTACAACCCTCTAGAAAACAATTTAATCTCTTTGCCTAGTCCTTACAATAACTGTTTGGCTATTCCGTGTCTGATCTTGTCCACTTCTAAGGCTGGTAACTAGATTTTGGTTGGAATTAGTTTTAGTGCCTTTCAAAATAAAAAATGTTGTTTCTTGTGTGGTTTACAAGACAGTTTTCAAGGGTGGATTTTAAATTATGATGTAAAATTATTAGATTGTTCTTATGGATTTTCTCTATAATTTTTAACAAATAATATAATTTATTTCTGTAGACCATTTCCATGTTCAACAACTCCCCTACCAAAGAAAAGAAACTGAGAGTTGAGGTTAAACTTGACCTCATTTGTATAGTTAAATCTAGCATAATGTAGTTTTTTATTTAAAAAAATATATATATCTGGTAGCCAATCCATCAAAACACCAACAAAATAAACCCCTTAACATTTGACAACTTACTTGTATCTTGTACGTACTAATTTCCTAAATTATTATTAATTTAACATGTCTTTCATGAGACATTTCTGTAAACCAATCAAGAAGAATAAACAACAGTTTACAGAGGTGGGGGTGTTGGCTTAAGACAACCGAGTTAAACCATAGAAAACTCTCATATATTCAACTCTTAAGTTAGGTTCTGCCATTAACAAATAACAACGTTCTAAGACAATAATATATAATGTTCAAAAACTACTAAAACTTATCTGGCTTTCTAAATAAGCTATAAATAGCCTTGAAAAAATTTATAAACACTTGGATTAAAGAATTATGTCACCAAAAACAAATATTTTTCCTGACATTTACGTGGGAAATCTAAACAACAGAGCTCTCTAAGATTTCTAACGAAGAGAAAATGCTCTATCAGTTATAAACAAGTCCATCAGACTTGTAGGGCTACTATAGTGAATTTGACAAACTTACTATTATATCAGCAAAGCAAGAAAGTGGAGGTTCAAATTTTAGATAAGTGCTTGTAATTAATTAATTACCTTTAGTTTGTTTCTAATGATCTGGATACTCTAAAAGCCATATTATGGAATATATATGAGAAAATTCAGAGCCCAGACACATCATGTAATGCAGAGAAATTAAGATTGAGAATTTTTTAAACATTTCCTTTTAAACTGTTTTGATGAAAATAGTTGTTTCATTAAGTTATGAATGAAACACTGTAAAAGAAAATGACATGCACATTTTGATCCAGTTGTATGAAAAGTTAATAAGAGATGGGAAACTAGACTGCTAAATACTGTCTAATACTATTAACATCTTACATAATTATATAAAAAAAAACAACTGATAAT